ATCTAGAAGGTTAACTAACTTAATAAATATCGACTCCCAAGAATTATATATTCTTTTTTTTTTATATATATAACTAGAACTCCACGGGAACATATTGTAGAGTGCTTTTAGAATAGCGTAGGAATTCCTTGTATTCGTCTAGAATGTCTCTAGGATGTTCCATCGTAAATAACCGCATAAAAATTATCTAGATACTCATTGTAAATCATAGGATCAAGGTGACCTTGACCATCCATTAGGAAGTGGTCTCATGTAAATATGTAAGATCCATTCAAGAATCGATAGCAACAGAACATTACAACTCCACACTTGTGTGAAAAACAATAGAAAGGAACTAACACACACATTCTGCTCTAATTTTTAGAAGAAACTTTGTGTGTACTTCATCAATCTTTGTATTCATAACATGATTGGTTAAGATTATCATGTTTGTTTGTTAAAAAGAACATAGCACCAGATATAGTAGATAACTTCCATTACAAATACTTACAATTTTGCTGAACTTCTCAATTGTTGCCAGCGGTATAGTGCCTAGGCCTATAATACTTCTAGATCCATCGCTCTACAAGAAGAAAAGTTCAACCATTAGTTAATAATTTACACTCTAAGAATTTGAAACTTAAAAAAGCAAGTAAAGAAAATAGAGTATATGAGTCAATAAGATGTCTTACTCACCAAAAAAAGAAGACGATAGTTTGTAACGAACAATGTTCCGGCCTCATCAGTATTCACAAGAACAACGCCATATCCCTGTGATCCATTAAGATCCATCCACAGTAGATCAGTTTTCGATCAATTTTTTATGGCAAAACAACAATAAAAGAAAAAAAAAGATATTTTATATTTTAAAGTATAATAAAATATTTTTGAACACGGATATGAAAACTACTAAAAGTAGGGCAAGATCAATTAACAAGAACATTTATGTATCGATTATCTTACAAAATTAGCAAATTTCTGCAATATCATATAATGTACAAGCCCAATTTTTATAAAATTAACATTGTATCTGTAACTTTGTATTTCATATTATTAAAGCACCGTACTTATCTTCAATAATGGCAATGAATCAAAAAAGACACAAGCTTTTGTAACCCCACGTGTCGAATCAATCATGCACTTACAAGCTCTAATTTTATTGATATCAACGACGTCGACACGTGTATTCTCCATCTATAGAATTAACCAAATATTGCCATAATCCCAATATCTCAAGTGTTTACACATACAAGATAAGTGTCCTTTACAGCTACAAGATTCCGCACTCAATTCAAGAAAGTTAATCATGAAACTACGAAAATTAGCACGAGTTTCCACTTTTTGCAAGTTAACATGTAAGGTTAATTCATATCCTCCACCCAAACCCCCAAAACCAACCAAAATTCCTATCTTCGGTACAATTAACACATAATTTTCGACACATTGCACAAAATTAACTCTCAGAATATTTCTCGACAATTAAAATCGACAAATTCAAATTGATGATTACCTCAACTATGACTTGCTCGGCTTCAAGCAAGAACTGCTGCAGCCCTTGGGGAATAGACCTTGAAACCGGCTGCACAAAAATTACACAAAACAGAAGGCAATAAATTAATTAGCACATTGGAATAAATCCCCCAAACCCCCAAAAAAACCACAAAAAAACAATAATTCAACAAAAAGAATTGAAATTGGAATTGGAATTGGCATACATCAACTTTGGTCCACTCAATTGCATCCCAACTACCGGCGCCGTCGATCCTGTCGGACTCGGAAAGGCGCGGGTCGGAATCATGGAGCGGCGTCGTCCGCCCCGAACGAGTTCTCGGCGGCATAGCCATCTTCTTCTTGCATACACCTATTGAGAAATTGAGAATTGAATTTAATTGAATTGGATTTTCAATGATGTGGGCAAACTAAAAAGAGGAGTTTTTTTTTTCTTTTTTTTATTTACTATTAAGTATTAATTAACGAATTTCTGTTTGGTCCGACTGAAAAACGTGATTGAGACACGTGAGGCAAGTGGGACCAGAGTGACGTAGGCATTAACCGCTTCGGTTCTCTAATTATATTTTTTTGGGAGAATTATTATTATTATTATTATTATTATAACCACCCCTCTTGTTTGGATAATTACAACCATCTCAACTCCTCAAATTTAGTGGAATCTTCGAATTTATATGGAATATTATCATTTTTGTACCCGTTTTATCCCATTCGAACTCTACGTTTTGAAGCAAGATGATCATAATATGTGCTTTTTGGCTTGTATATATCAGATTGTGGTGCATCAGAAACTGTATTTTTACACAAAACAAATACAAACTAGAGTACATTCCACGAAATTTAGATGATTATGTTGAATTTGACACCATAAAGGTGGAGGTGTAAGAAAAAATCATAGTGAGAGGTATAGGTGTAATTATCCAAACAAGAGGGATTGTTTTGTAAATTGACCATACCTCAGGGTGTTTGTATTCTACCCTTATTCTAAAATAGATAAATAATAAGTCCAGCCTTTTTACGTTTCTTTATCAACAATTAATTAGTTAATATATTTATGTGGATAAGATTTTTATTTTTTTCCTTAAAAACGTCAGTCACCCTAAATTATTATGTCAATAAGATTTTTAATTTTTGTTAATTTTTTTTATTTTTTGAAAGCACCTAATTTTTTCAACACACAAAACTCAGATAAATTAAAACCATGACATTAGGATTCGGATTTGTCTTGTTGTCTCAAACAGGAAAATTAAGTAAAATTATATATATTTTTTTTAATATAAAAGATTGGGCAAATGGCAAAAAGGCCCATTACATGGGACTTAAATGCATTTTAGTCCACAAAAAAAACAGTCTCTCAATTAAGCCCATCCCCATGTCTTTAGTCTAAAATACCCTCAATAATATAATTCTTAACAATTCCACCCATTATGCTCTAACTTCCTTAATATTA